TTGCAAGCTGACCACAGTATCTTTCACTTCTCCTCACTGACTTCTGCTGATGAATTGATGCTTGAATCTTTGATTGATATTTACAATCCTGCACTGAGCAATACAATAAAAGAACCACCACTCATTGCATTTCGACTGTTTGCCAGCTGTCAAATCAAAAGCACTGATTTACTTCATAAAAAGTCACTAAAACGGACAAAATCTCCTGTCTTTGAACGTGTCAATTATATATTTTTTCACGCAAATGGCAACACTTTGATTCCCTCATTACAGCTGGAGTCTTTTCAGTCACACAGTCAATACTGGCTGACAGTATGCAATGAGACATTTATATAACTTGCAATATATTTTGAGGAAGTGTTCAGAGAATCACTGCCCACATCAGTGAAATTGTATCTAAGCAGTCGAGAGCTTGTTATGATAGTTCTCCTTTAGAATAATTGATTGAATTTGATGTGACGTAGAGGAATTGATACTCTGCAGCTAAGATGTGATCAATACAAAGGAGAGTCTGAGGGAGCTTTCATTCATCTGCCTGGGATTATTAGAAACATTCAAGTATTTGTGTGTGTGTTCATGTTTTTGTGTGTGTCAGAAATAAATAAATAAAAAATAGCAGAAACATTTAAACTATTAGTATATGAAATTTTAAATCAGATAATTTCTCTTATCATGTCTCAACATAAATAGTTCCTCAGCTGAAATTATTCAATTATTCCAACTTTTTTTTTTTTTTTTTTTTTTTTTTTTTTGGGAGGGAGGGTTAAAAATAAAATCTTGACTATCTGGAATGAAGTTTCCAAACTTGGTGACAGAATTTACTTTTTTGTCATAAAACATCAGGTTAGTGTCTCCAGATAGTCTGCAAAAAACAAATTTAATTACAAAGTAGTACTGACATTTTTATTTACCATGCATATTCTAAGTACAGGGAGTGGTGGCGCAGTGGTTAGAGATGGTGGAACTGTGATAAGAAGGTTGCTGGAACAACTCCCGACAACATCAAAATGAGGGTGGGATAGGTGAAGCACCCACACCTGCCTTCACCCTCATTTGTCCCACTCTGAGCCCTTGAGCAAGGCCCTTAACCCCCACCATCTGCTCCCCAGGGTGCCCTAGCTCTCTGCTCCACACAGAGGGCTGTGGTAGCTCAGTGGTCTGTGGTTGTGTCAGGAAGGACATTCAGCGTAAAAATAATTGCCAAGTCTTCGTGCGACTTAGTTCGCTGTGGCGACTCCTGATGACGGATCAGCTGAAAGAAAAAAAATTCCAAGTGATAAAACCAACAAATAATATTTTTTCAATATTATAGCTTCTATGTATGCTATGTCTTCTACAGTATGCCTGTTTGGATTATCATTAATCCTTGTTTAATAAGGCTATTAGCAACATGTGTATACTTAATCTGGTCATCTTTGAGATCACAAATCTCTTCAATTGATACTTTGTAGGTCTGAGGCTGAAAAGTTTGGAAACCAGTCATTTAAAAAATATGTTTGGATTTTAAAGGTACTAATAAAAAGCTATTGAATTTGAAAGAGTTTATTCCGGTAGTTTTTCAGATGTATTGTGCCATTCTAAAATGTAGACACACTCAATGTAAACCAAGCACTTTGATAGAACAAATCTGAGCATAAATACGGATTGTAACATCAAAATTGTCTGACTGCTCACTCCTAAATGGCTCTTTTAATGAATGTTTCCATTGTTTACCTATTTTTAGCTACTTCGGCTGTTTTTGTAGGTAAACAAACACGTTCTCATTGACAGCAAAGATTTTAAATTTGAGGAAACATTACACACTAACATAAGAAAAAAGGTGCAGATTTTGTTATGAATTGATTAATTTAATTTTGCTGTCTTCATGACACAACTGTGAGAACCTCTTCAAAATAAGTGTCGGCTGCAGCAACTCGGTGGTCAGTGCTGCAGCCTTCAAGCGCCCAAGTTGTTTTAGGAATTGCATCTGGTATAAACTATTGCAATTTTTTTTCATGCAGCATGGTGGCACAGTTGGTAGAGCTGCTGCCTCTCAGCGAGCAGGTCATCCCGGTTCAAATCCCAGTCGGGGGGCCTTTCTGGGTGGAGTTTGCACGTTCTCTCCATGCATGCGTGGGTTTTCTCCGGGTACTCCGGTTTCCTCCCACAGACCAAAAACACGCACGTTAGACTGATTGGTAACTAAATTTAAGGTGAGAGCGAGTGAGTGAATGGTTGTTTGTCTCATTTGTCTCCATGTGTCCCTGTGATGGATTGGAGACCTGTCCAGGGTGTCCCCCACCCCTTGCACAGTGATGGTTGAATATGGGCACCAGGGACCCCTGCGACCTGAAAAAGGAAGAAGCAGATAAAAGATAATGGATGGATGGAGTTCACTTGCTGTGGCGACTCCTGAAGAAGGGAGCAGCATAAAGAAGAACATCAAGAACCTTAAAATAAAACAGTTGCAATTTTGCACGTTGCACAGTCTAAGCTATGAATGGACCTTCAGAAAAAATAAAACATCCTGAATTCCATATAAAGTAGACGTGTAATTGGTTTACCACTTGACTTATTGTACATAAACTTATTACAAAATGAGAACATGTTGTTTGGAAGGTTCACTGCTTCTCTTATTAATCTAGCAATGTTGAGTGATTGCATTTTTTTTCTGTGTTATTAGTCATTCTTCGCTGTTTATTTGTACACTTGTGATATTTAAACACAGCAAATCAAATTACCCGCATTCAAAAATATTCCTCTAACGGTTGAAATGATCTTAATTTACTCGTTCAAAAAAAATGAAGCACCTTTACTGCATCTTCACACTTCTGTTTGCGATGTAAATAAAGCTATGGACATGTGCTGAAATGCAAGAAAATGAATGTTGTGTTGTTTTCTCGATGTGAAGCAGTAAACAGCAGATGGTCAGGAAGGCCTCCTTAGCGCGATGGATTTTATCTAACTACTCACCTGAATGACCCACGTTGAGCTGAGCAGCTGATGCAGGAAACAAAATAAAATTAAGAGTTAACTGTTAGCGCTTGTTTACTTCAGTTCCACCAGGCTGCAAGGCCAGAGGAGACGTTTGCCATGCATGGAGAAATTAGCTTGTTTATCAGCATTTTGATTTCCATCCCGCTTCGCCGTCCCACTGACATTCTAGACGTACATGATCCATGACTGATTCCCAATCAAAGGCACAATGACAAAGTACTTCGCTTGTGCATTCATTTCCATTGTTGTATAATTAAATGTTTGACGATTAGCTCTGAGCATGATTAGGACAAAGCTTCGTTGTGTGCACGCATTCAAAAATATAACCTTGAACAGTGTACATCTGTCCTGTCAATTGGATATGCTTCAAAGACTACCAGTGAGCTACTGCACCTCCTGTCCATATCAGTTGCTTCAAGGTGATTTGTGATAATATATTGGAGCTGTTTTTTCCCTCCGTTTTGTTGGTGGTGTTACACCCTCAGACCTCCCACTGTACTTTGGAGTTAAATGAAAGACAGAGCCAAAGTCCTTGAAAGGTTACAAAAATCTTTAGCCATTCATTACTGTAAAGGGGGAAGCGTGGAAAGTGAGGGAATATAATGAAAACTAATACTCTTTCTAGTCACCAAGCTATCTGTAGATATGTTTGATATCCCATTACAGGCCCAGAAGTAACCACAGTTCCATACTGTCAAGAGACAAACATAATCCAGAGGGAAATTACCCATCAGGAAGGCAATACTGCTACTGAGATGCAATTACCAGGCCACTTGTGAGACTTTCAGCCCAGTGTCCATGGATGAATGTGTGCGAGGGTGGTCGATATGTGCATAACAGCTCTTATGTTTAGCAGGCTAAATTGGATTCTTTGTTGGAGAACAGTTAATTTAGAATATGTCCAAGATGCAAATGATTGATGCGACTATATCATTATAACTGTGGGGTTTGTGGTGCAGGGCAAACTAATGGATAAAATATATTGCAGTGGGAGGGGGGGAAGCTTTCATCCCAGAATTACGGAGAAGTTTGTGAAACTTGCAGATGCAGCGGCGGTCGGCTGACTCTTAAAGCGTGAATTTTAAAGTGAGCAGGCTTCTGTTTTATTTTGTTATTTTGCAGCTCCTGTGTTCATATTTGTCAGTAGTTAAATAATCTGTGTGTCTCACAGATAATTTAATGTACCAATATAGCACTAAATCACATGGCCTACAAAACAAAACTACGTCTTGAAATGAACATGAGGATGTGCTATGCTTTATTTTTAATACAAACATATAAACCACAGAAACAAGACTTGTATTTGTGCATGTGATGTGCTTAGTCCTCATTGTCCTGTGGTACAACTTATTATCACACTATCCCCCCAAGTTGAACATAACATTTCAGGCAATAGCAAATTGCTTCTCGTTACCCCCCAAGATAAATATCTCAAGTTCAGGACATTTCTACCAAACTACAAAATCATTTCCTTCAACCTGGTCATTAATTATAGCTGCCTTCAACAAGCAGCTTGTAACCTTAAATGTAGCATGGAGGGGGAAAGACGGGGCTGCCTGCACCCGTTGCAGGGAAAGTGCATGTGGATAAGAAATAAAACTGCCTGCACTGAGTTTGAGCCTTGCATGCATAATAAATGTATGACAAAACAATACCCCAGGCACCCCAGTATTAATGATATGCAGTGAACTCATTATTAAAGTTCCAAAACAGCTCCTGGAGTAACACAGATGGAGTCAATTAGGCAATGAGCATACTTGCTTGCCTGCCGTTTCATCTTCTTTCTTTTATCTCTTGCATATTACTCCACGGATGTAATTAGCTGTATGTTTCTCCTCACGACATAATGTCCAGTGATAATAACAGTTATTTTCACTTGTAATTTCAAATAATACCCTTGCTTAATAAATGTACCAAATTTGCTTTCACTGTGTCCTTGGGTATTGCATTCGCACTGCAAAAGGTGTTGAGGATAAAACCTTTCTAAGCTGCTATTTTCCCCTCTGTGCTGTTTCTGTTCCCAGGGACCTGATGCCTTCAACGCTGGAGGGGCAGATCACCATGGAGAAGACACCCAGCTACTTTGTAACTAACCATGCCCCAAAGCGCATCCACTCCATGGCCAAGGACATCAAGCTTATTATTGTGGTGCGTAATCCTGTCACCAGAGCCATTTCAGACTATACGCAAACCTTATCCAAGAAACCTGAGATCCCAACTTTTGAGGTTCTTGCTTTTAAGAACCGGACGCTGGGGCTTATAGATGCCTCATGGAGTGCATTGCGCATAGGAATATATGCCCTTCATTTGGAGAGCTGGATGCAGTATTTCCCTCTCTCCCAGATGCACTTTGTCAGTGGGGAGAGGCTCATCGTGGATCCTGCAGGAGAGATGGCCAAAGTACAAGACTTTTTGGGACTTAAGCGTATTGTCACAGACAAACACTTTTACTTTAATAAAACTAAAGGATTTCCATGTCTGAAGAAACCAGAGGACAGCAGCACTCCCAGATGCCTTGGCAAGTCTAAAGGGAGAACTCACCCTAAAATTGACCCGGATGTGATTCGGAGGCTGCACAAGTTCTACAAACCCTTTAACATGATGTTCTACCAAATGACTGGCCAGAACTTTGAATGGGAGCTGGATGAGGACAGCGAATCTCGCAGCTCTCAGGACTAGCATGGCACGGCTCTGCCATACCACCAGCCTTCTCACTACAAACTACTATTGTCCCACTTCATCTCAAGAGAGTGTCTGAGCACGCCAATCAATCATGGCTGTCCTTGCTGTGTCTGTATTCATTAGCAAGAGTTCACTGACATGCTTTATTTGATGATGGCAAATCATTATTGTGTATATGAAACATAAAATATATTTATATTTGTGTAAATGAGATGATTTATTTCTTTTGTTTTTAAAGCATAGAGCTGATAAAGAATCCTGTTGACTATGGCGATGCATGTGATGAGTTAAGTGTCCTTACCTCATGAGTCCTAAGGGGAAACTTTGCCTGTTTTTTTTTCCTCCTTTTATTTTCCTGCAGTTTGTTGCCCTCACACCCACTCACCAGCATCCGCTACAATAGATATTGTATTTTAGTGGCTGAGGCCAAGAAGTACTTCGCTTTACTTCTTTTGACACAGTCCTGCTGCTTTAGAAAACAAAGAAAGGAGAACATATATAATCCTTTGACAAGCCCATCTTTTAGGTTGTCCATATTTTGAGTGGAGACAATCCTTTTAAGTTTACCAAAGTTTACCAATTACTGTTCAGTCGCTATTCTGATTGCTTGGCACTTATTAATTGCACACATATTCAATAGGAGAGCTAATGTGCATTGGCCATCATTCAACAAATGGATTGTTTCACTGCAAAGTTAAACATTAGCATACTGATGACCATGCACTCTGACATGGTGCAGTATCAGTGGTTTTGGTATTAACTTTAAATCTACTCTTTAGGCATTGAACAATTCTGCATCCGGAAGGTTCTGTTTTCCTCGTGACCCTCCTCGTGTCACAGTAATACATGTCAGTGAGGGTGAAGGAAAACAGCGCAGGACCAAGCATAAGTTTGTTACCAAACATCTGCTGCAGCGTGGTCCTCTGTCATTAGAGATTAATGGTGTGTTAAATAAACTGCTGCTGCTGCTGGAACAAAGTCAATGTCAGAGAGAATTTCCTGTCAAGGTAAAGTCACATACATGCCCAGGTAAATTACCAAGCCATTACTGTATGTGCTTAACTTGAATGTGACCATTTCTGTCAGAGAATTTTGATGTAACTTGGAGGTTTATTGAAAAATACATGACCAACAGGGTTTTGCTGTGAAATTCACATTTACTCAATGAAGTTACATGACCCATCTTTTTTTGTTTTCTTTCTTACTTTTTAGGTTCAGTTTTGCATAAACCACTGTGTCTGTCTGTTGTCTCTGGACTTTTCATCAATTGAGACAATCAATACAGTCAATGAGTCAATAAATACAGTCTACTCCACATCACTGGTCGCTACAGCTATGATGCATTGCTCTGTTAATTCTTCGTGTTCTCTTGCCATGGATGGCTGGAATGGTTCCCTCTCTGCAGACCTCTCTGTCACCCCGGGGAGGCCGACACCAGCAGCTACTTACACAGAGCAATTGATTCAATCAAAGGAAGCTCCGCGCTGCCCTTTGCAGCACCGAGCCTGAACGCTCGCCTCTGAGTCGCGCCATCCCAGAGTTACAACTTCCACTTTGAGGCTGTTCTGTGCAGCCATCCCTTAGTGCTTTCTTGACAATGCACTTTTACCTCCTTTTCCCATTTATCTTTTTTTTTTTTTTTCCCCTTTTCTCTCTCTGCTCACACATCCCTGTCAGAGCAGATATTGTGTTGGGAAACAGTTAAACAAAGGTGCTCAGCTCTCAAGATAATTGAACTGCAAGTAAGACATACGTTTCAAAAATGTATTATCATAATTTATTTATTAGCCTTTTCTTTCCTCTACACTAACATGTATAATCCACTTTCCAACGCAGTCAGTCCCTCCTACACAGTTTAAATAAATCCACAAAAGCCACCCCCCCACCCCCCGCTGCGTTATTAAGAAAGATGAGGACTTCATTTTATTTCAATAAATATGCACAGTGACAGTCATTTGCATTTCCAGGATTACTTGAGGGAATTTACCTCCAAAGAAAATCAACGATTCCAACCTCTCATTAACAAAAAAAACAAAACAAAAAAAACATGTACACACCTTTTTCTTTTACCTCTTGTTTATTTTAGTTACAGGCAGAGTGATGCATCATGCAAGTCCTAGATGGGTGAAAGTCATCCTAAACTAGCGTCCTTGTATTTCTCTCAGGGGGTTCATGTCATGTTATGTGGCTCAAAATTCTCATAGGTGTCAACCACAGATGAATGTTTTTAAAAAATCACCTGCTTACAAAGTGGCACTTCCTAGTGGATATTTATGAAAAATAAGAACGAACTCAGTCGTCAATCCAGCTTTGAGCTGCATAAAGTGAAAAGTTACAATAATTTACAAAAAACTAATTTCACAGCACTTGTTTGGTTGTTGATGGTATTTATTCTATACAAACATTTCTTGTATGAAGGGCAATTATACGCATTCTGATGAAAGGATACTGCAAAAAAGGAACTCATTTTGGAAGTCATTGATGTTGGAAACAATAAGGAAGATGTGAAGATGTCCTGACTACAACTAGTTTTTCACATCAGTGGAGTGAACGATTATCAGGTGAGTAAAGAGCCGTGATGGTGTCAACATTAAAGCTTTGCACTCTGCATTTTTTATTGTTCTATTTGATGTTCACTGTTACACAACTAAAAACAGCATACAGCAATGTGTGCATGTGTCTGCTGAATTATATGTCAAAAAATATATAATTTCATTGACATCTACAACTGATTAGGATTTGGAGTATATTAAATTTAAAAATTCCCATCACAGCTAATTTACACAAGCCAACACAGAAATATTTATAATTTATATATAAATATATACATATTTTCAGCTAAAATGTTATTAAGTAGTAGCTAAGAATAATTTACAACATATATTTTGAGCATGACATCTTTGGACATTGCATGATCATGCTTGAAATGTTATTTTTCAAGGCTTAATTGTCTATAATGTCATCATTTCTCAAATTAAGATGATTTTAGTCTTCACCACTGCCATGATAGGCAGCGGTTGACGTGAATTTCTACAGGAAATACTGGGCAATGTTTATAAATAATTTGTTTATTTCACTTTCAAAACATTTTCACTCCAAAAAATGCCAGAAGCAGAAAATGAAGTGCATCTGTTCACTGTGTCCATGTCTTCTATCCAAGTTTAATATAATTTATTTGAAAAACTGCAACTGAAAGGGAATTTTCTCAGGGCGGCATATAGACGTTCACAAAATCACACTGCTATCCAAATCAGATATCAAATAGTTCCCGTTTTTATTTTTCAAAACCTTTGCCAACTATAAATGTAGGAGGCTGCAAAGGACAACAGCTGGTATCACAGAAAATAGAGCCGGTAAAAAAACTCAAGCATCTTTTTTCCTCCTGCAGGACTCCACATTTTCAGCTTGGATTAGTTTAAGTGTTGGTCTGTTTTGTGAAGTAGAAATAATTTTCTATGCATTTCTGAGTTGAAATGAATGTTGATGCAGGGGACTGAAGTTTCTCTAATGGTCATTACAGGAACGGCAAGCATTCTGAAAAAACCTTCTATCATGGCTGAAATAATTTCAGATCAGGAGTTCCTGCCGTTTTCCACAGATCAGAGTCACTACCAGAAGTAATCACTTTCATCTAACGCTTCTTCCGGAGTCAGGAACTTCCTCTTTAACCACCTCAGGAGAGAAAAGCACCCCTCCATAAATCTTGACTCAGTTCTTTCCTCTGTGCTCTGATGGGTGATTTCCCATTCCTGCTGCTGCACTTCATTCTCCCAGTCTGCCTTTTCTCTCACCACAATCTGTATAGCACTTTCACAGTGACAAAGACTTCAGTCAAGTTGAGGGGTTTGCAGAAGTATAAGTCTATTATGTAAGTTTTAAAACTTTACATTCATTTCAGCATTACAGATGAAGACAATGACTGAAACATTAAAATATTACAATCATCTTACAGTTAAACTAGAAAGGCAAACATTTTGACTACAGTATTTGTAACTTTGTGCTGATCATTACAAATTCAGGTTTTCTGTGAAGTATTGTGAGATGTTTAAAGGTCTTCGTCAAAGCAAATAAATAATGCCACGAAAGATTCACCGTGTGCATTTAATAACAAATTAAACCGTAATCATGAACAGATAAACATGTTGATAATGTAGACTGATAATTTAGTCTCACATAATAAATGGATGTTTAATGAAATAAGTTGCATATCACATTAGCTCCTCAAAATGTTCTGTGATAATGTGTCATAATTGCAGCTAAATAATTTTGACCTAGTAGCTTTATTTCGTTCAATTTCACAAGAGTTCTAATTTTCTTGTTCGCCTCCAACATGCCCCCTCCCACTCCCCGTAAGCACACACAAATATCCACACACGTACTGTGACAGACGAACATGAGTTGATTCTGCTGCGTTCAATTTGCTTTCTTTTTTACAAAACTGTGAAGTCATCATGACCCGAAGTAGCAGCTTCTATTCCAATCAGAAAGTAATCAGAAAACATCATCTAGTTGGTTAGAAAGACAACCAAAACAAAGTTCTCCATCTTCTATCTCTTATCTGTAGTCAGGTCATGGAGGCAACAGTCCAGGAGAGAAACCCAGACGTCCTTCAACCCAGCAACACTTTCCATCTCAATCTGTGTGACCCCGAAGAGTTCCCAGGCCAGAGAAGAAACAACATCCATCCAGCAACTTCCGGGTCTTTCCCTGGGTCTCCTACCAGTGGGATGTGCCTGGAAAACGTTTACAGGAGGCGTCCAGGAGGAATCCTAATCAGATGTTCGAACCACCTCAACTGATTCATTTTGAGCAATGGCTCTACTTCGCGCTCCTTCTGGATGACAGAGCTCCTCACCATATCTTGGTTACCCTACGAAGGAAGCCCATTTCAGCTGCTTGTATCGGGGATTGTGTTCTTTCTGTCAAGATCCAAAACTCATGACCATAGGTGAGGGATGGAGCGTAGAAAAATGGTATGTTATGCTATGGTACAAATGGTAAATAGAGAGCTTTGCCTTTCGACTAAGGTCTTTCTTCACCACAAGTGACCAAAGCAACACC